TACCTTTCCTTCAGGAGGTGACCATGTTAGCCTGGGGATGGGAGGGATGGCTGCCCTCAGCGTAGGGCAGTTCTGGTTGGCTGTGGATCTGCCAGACTTGTTTCACAGTTAACAGAAAGGGATTGTGTGTTGGCCTGTTCCTGACACATTGAAAAACTATGTGCAAGGGACGAATTTGCGCTTAGCTCCTAGTTGACCCGAGTTTGGTCTCGGAGGTCAAGGCGGGGCAGTGCGCTAATCCCTCTCTGTGATGGAGTGTTGTTCAGGGAGAACATGGGTCAAAGCTATGACTTCCGGGGCCTGTTGGGCACCAGGCATGAGTGTAAGAGCTTGGTATCATACCTGTCCCAGAGCTCATACTTAATGCAAGTTAATTGTTACTTTGGTTATTCTTCCCATGGCATTTTTATCACCGCCAATTTTCTCAAGTTTATTTAATTTGAGAGAGAGAGGCAAGGAGGGGCAAAGAGAGAGGGGGGAGGAGAGAGAGAATCCCAAGCAGGCTCCACACTGTCAGCACAGAGCCCGACTCAGGGCTCAAACTCTCGAACTGTGAGGTCATGACCTGAGTCAACATCAAGAGTCAGTTGCTTAACTGACTGAGCCACTCAGGCACCCCAATCACCAATTTGTTTTCAAATTGTCAGTTGTATCAGAGCAATGATAATCTACCTGCAGCCTTCCCTGAATGGGCTCATGCCAGCACTTCAGATCTCCTTGCTTGGAACAGAACAAAGTGACGTCTAAAACACACCTCTGATGGGTGTTCTGTGTTAACATACTTCATTTGGTGAAACTTCATGTCCTAGTCTCAGGTCCGAAGGGTAGGAAAATAGGGACTGGTCCATGCGTTTACGTCTAGACTGGAGTTCTAGGGCAGCCTCCACTTGTGTGGACCATGCCCCTTTTCCAAGAATGCAGTTAATCATACTTTTAATTTTATAACCCAGGAAACAAATAACACTTGTGACTCATTGTCCATTACCATGAGCTGAGCCTGGGCAGGGATGAGAACCCGCTGGACAGGTGTGCCCTTGGCTCTTAATTTACCTCTCCATTCCTTCCTGAGTCTGGATGCTCAGGGTTTCTCCCTCCTTCAAAAGGCATACTCTGGCCTCATCGTGATTTGGAGTCTCAACTCTTCTCTGCCCAACTTGACTATTTTTGTCAATGGGAGCATTGAATGAGTGGGAGTCAAAATAAGAGACTGTGAATTTCATGTACCCTCAACCTTATATTTTACCTACCTTGGAATCACACCATATATTCATATGTACACTTTTAAGACAAGGGTTCTTTTCTTTCATTCAAAACCAATTTCTTTACGAGGATTCTCATAGTTTGCTGCCTTAGTATTTTCTGGGTCTTTTTCTACCTTAAGAGCTCCACTCCCTCTTAAACCTCCAATTTCTTCTCTACTCCCCACTTACTAGAAAAGAAGCCACATTTGGCTGTCTTCTTGACCTTGGACTTCTCTTAACTTTGATCTTTCAATGCTTAGTGATTTCATTGAATTTTTTTTTTTTTGTTACCTAGCCTTCGAGGTGGCCATGTATGTTCTGTCCCAGTTTTGCTCCATCTGGTCCTAAAGCTAATGGATGGCCTTTATGACTTAGCCATCAAAAAGAATGAAATCTTGCCCTTTACAGTGACGTGGATGGAGCTAGAGTGTACTGTGCGAAGTGAAATAAGTCAGTCAGAGAAAGACAAATATCACATGCTTTCGCTCATATGTGGAAGTAAAACAAAATAAATGAACATAAGGGAAGGGGGGTAAGAGAACAGAGGAAACAAACCATAAGAAACTCTTAACGATAGAGAACAACTGAGGATCGATGGAGGGAGGTGGGCGGGGGATGGGCCAAATGGGTGATGTGTCCTAAGGAGGGTGCTTATTGTGAGGAGCACTGGGTGTTCTATGTAAGTGATGAATTCCTAATTCAACTCCTGAAACCGTTATTACACTGTATGTTGACTAACTAGAATTTAAATAAAAACTTGAAAAAATAAATAAAGCTAATGGTTTTGCTCTGCCTCCTCAGGTTATTTTTTTAAAATGTGTAATTCTGGGGCGCATGGGTGGCTCAGTCGGTTGAACATCCGACTTCAGCTCAGGTGATGGTCTCACAGTTCGTGGGTTGGAGCCTCACATCGGGCTCTGTGCTGACAGCTCAGAGCCTGGAGCCTGCTTCACATTCTGTATCTCCCTCTTTCTCTGACCCTCCCCCGCTCATGCTGTCTCTCTCTCTCTCTCTCTGTCACAAACAAATGAAAATCATTAAAAAATTTTTTTTAAATGTGTAATTTCTCCAGCCTAACTGGACTTCCATGTGGCCCTGTGTCGTGCCTCCATCTCTATTTGCCTTCCTGTCTATTTGTGGGGTCACTTGTTAAATTACCATTTCCCAGCAGACAGTTCTCTTTAGCCCTTTCTTTTCTTTCCATGCTTTCCCCTGGTGAATCTTAGCCACACCCACAATGTCCATAAGAGAAAGCATCCCAGACCTTGCGTGCTGTCTCTGAATTCCTGTATTTCTTTCTGAGCACCCAACCTGGGTTATCAGCAATCTTCTGCGTTTTGTGAAATATTCTCTCAGTGTCCTATACTGAACACATACAAAACTAAATGATCATATTCTCATCTGAATGTTCTCTAGTTGATTATTACTGACATGTGGGGCATTACTAATCTTGTGGTCACCTGTATTCTCTATCTTGAGGCTATTTGTGTCTCCTTACTTTCTTTTTGCTCAAATGTAGCAGATTAGAACATCCGCCATTTTTTTATATTCTATAATTTGAGGGTTAGGAATTTTGGTAGGAATTGAATCACTCAATTGGGTGATTCTTTTGCTCTCATGATACTGAAGTTACTCAGTGAGTTTCAGCTTTACTCACATATGGGGGGCGGGGGAGGCTAGGAAGTTGGCCTCAGTGAGAAATGTCTGTAGCAGTCCCTATATGTGGTCTCTGTAACCTGGCTGTCTCCAGGTAGTTGGGCTTCTGATCTGTTTTCTCACTACCCCCGAGAATATGTTCTAAGAGACAAGAAGTGGAAATTGCCAGTCTCTTCAGGTCTGGGCTTGGAAATGATCGTAGTGTCACTTCAGTGAAATTTGGTTGAACAGAGCAGTCACGGAGCCAATCCAGATTCAAGAGAATGAGCATAAATGCAGGTTTCATGGGATGAAGGTCAGAGGAGCCGTGGCCATGTTTAATTTGCCATACTTCCCCTTACCCATCACACCGAGTGTTTGCTGTGTTTGCCTTAATTTTTATTCACACTAATACGAGCCAAAGTCACAGCTTCATTTATTTTTCTTCTGCGTAGTTGCCATAGTTTCAAATTAACTTCTCTACCTCCATGCTCTTCTTTATCCAGTTTCCTGCATACGCGACTGTAAGAACAATCTTTTGAATGTTTCTTGTGCTGTTACTATCCCGTTGTAGCTTGTTGACTAAAAATAGAGACTTCAGACCTTCCAAATATATAGTGTGCCTTCCAAATCTTAACCCAACGTCCTGTCTAAATTGCTTCCCACTCCTCTCCTTTAGATCTCCCGGGGTCTGGCTCAAGTACAAGAAAACATTCCCCAAACAGTTATTACCTCCTCCCTCTTGCCCCTCCAGGGCACCTCTGCATCCCTCTTCCCTTGGCATGGAATGCACTTCCAGAAACCTGCATCTGTTGAAATCCTCTTTATCCTTCTGTATTAAGCTCAAAACACGAACTCCTCACGGGACCCATTGTTGGGTCCTCTAAATGACAGTGGCATTCTTTCCAAGGTCCCACGGCACCCCTGCCCCTTTCGACAGTTTTCTAACAGCTTAGCCTATGGTTATTTTTATGAGCCTACCTTATTTTAAAGCTTATTAATCTTTTAAATTATTCATAATCTTTAAAGTCTCGCAGCTCCCAGCATAGCAATTGCATTTCACCCAGTAGGTGCTCACTATGGATTTTTATTTGAGTCATGCTTGATTTCTAGCCAGAAACTCTGCAGCAGGCCATCTATAAATTTCAAAGGTTAAATCCACTAAAGACGGGCAGTTTGGAAGAGTTGGGTAGCATAATATCAGTTGGGTTGTTGGTAAAAGACAGTGGCCGTGGCCTTGTGAAACAGGGGCTATGGATGTCAAAAAGGGAAGGGCAGAGTTCCTTAGAGGTTCCCCGGGTAGATCCCTGGTAGCTAGAGGGGGTCAGGAGGGACAGAGCCATCAGCGATTACAGATATTAAACTGCGTTTGACCCTGACGATTCGGTACAGCTTAGGCCTGAACATTTCTCCTTTTACAATAAATGGGTTATTTTATAAAATCACGGTCAAGAAGAGAGGTCTGTCCTGAGGCACACACATACACTTACACGTATCTGAAACATCAGCTAGGAAAAGGGGAGTTTGCCCAAGCACTCGAAGGATCCCCCTTTATTTTAAAAATTCTTTTTGAGTTTACTTAGTTATTTTGCAACAGAGGCAGGAAGAGCAGGGAAGGGGCAGAGAGAGAGGGAGAGAGAGAGAATCCCAAGCAGGGTTGGAGCACTGTTATTGTAGAGCCAGACATGGGGCTCCATCTCACGAACTGTACGATCATTACCTGAGCTGAAATCAAGAGTCCACCACCGAACTGACTGAACCACACAGGTGCGCCAAAGTCTCTCCTGTTTTTGTTTTTTGTTTTTTTTTTCTAGGAGAGAGAGAGAGACAGTGTGAGCAGGGGAGGGCCAGAGAGAGAGGGAGTCACAGACTGAAACAGGCTCCAGGCTCTGAGCCGGCAGTCAGCACAGAGCCCGACACGGGGCTCGAACCCACAAATCGCGAGATCATGACCTAAGCGAAAGTCAGACTCCCAACCGACTAAGCCACCCAGATGCCCCTCTCCTGTTTTTAAAGGTAGTGATGAGGCTTTACTACAAGACCCCCCTCCAGAAAACCTGAACTCACATTAATCGGGTTGTTCTCTTTTGTGTGTTTTAGGCACTTTCCCCACATGACCGGAGGACAAACTTCTGGTTAGGAGACGACTACCCGGAGCCCACGGCCTCTGCCCACCATGAGGGGGACCTGTGTCATTGCATGGCTGTTCTCAAGCCTGGGGTGGTGGAGACTCGCCCAGCCAGAAACAGACGCATCTCGGTGCCAGAGAACAGAGCACCCGGTCATTTCCTATAAAGGTGAGGGACAGGCCCTCTTGGACTGCAAGGGCACCCCTTAAATGCACTTCTCGCGTTCAGTGATTGAGAATAGCATGGTTCTTGCTCTGTCTGTGACCCTTGTTCTAGACGTTGTCTAAAATACAAACAAAAATACAAAATGCCCCATTGCAGGAATCTCTTATCCCGAAACTGATCACCACTGTCTCAGGAAGATGTGAGAATTGAAGTTATCACGGTCGTTGTTGAGGCCGCCTTTATTTAAGGTTGCTGCGAGCCTCCTACATGTTTGAATCAGGGCATAAAAATGTGATCTGCAGAAGTAATAGCAAAACTAAGTAAAGCAAAGAATTCTTCACTTTAGCAATTCCCAACACAACCTTAGTTTTAACATCAAATGTACACCTTGGTCTCTCTCTGGAATCGCATGGCAGATAGAACTGATTTAATGTCTCAAGTAGCTGTAGGATTAATTAACCAGCGTCTATATCCAGTCATTCATTCTTTTATTTATGAAAATTTATTCAAGACTCTTTCTACCCTGGGCACTCTAAACTTTCAGGATGAAAAATAGATTAGTCTTTGTCCCTGTCCTCAAGGAACTTACAGTTCTATTATGAAGCAAACTATAATGAATGAGACACTATATTTTAATAACTCATCTAATAAATAGTATTATGTTTTGCTATGTTTTGAACTTTACATCCTGAAAAATGTCAAATATGTGCAAAACCAGAAACAATAGTCTAAGGAACATCAAGCCAATATTTATTTTTATTATTTAAAAACTTTTTTTAATGTTTATGCATTTTTGAGAGGCAGAGAGAGACAGAGCGTGAGTGGGGGAAGGACAGAGAGAGAGGGAGACACAGAATACAAAGCAGGCTCCAGGCTCACTCCAGGCTGTAAGCTGTCAGCACAGAGCCCCATGCGGGGCTCGGACTCATGGACCACGAGGTCATGACCTGAGCTGAAGTCGGACACTTAACCAACTGAGCCTTCCAGGTGCATTGTAACCCAACATTTATTAATTCAGGGCCCACTATTTTTTACCTAAATTCCTACATATGCTCCACCTCACACCCACCAAATTACTTTGAAGCAAATCCAAGAAACCATATAAATGTATCTATAAAATTTTACTTCTTACCTGTCAAAGAAAGGGGATTCTCAGCACCATTAACACATCAGACAAAAGAAAAAAAAAAGGCAAAAGCAAAAAACCCCTCAATTCCATAAAGTCATCTGATCTCCAGTGAGCATCGTGAGATCCAGATCCCCGAGGTCTCGTGAATGCCGATGCTTTTTTTTTTTTTTTTTTTTGTTAACAGTTGGATTGACTCAGGGTCCAAATGGAGCTGATCCATTGCGATTGGCTGGTATGGTTCCTGAGACTCTTCTAATCTTCCGCTGTCTGGCTGTGGCTCTTGCTCCCCGTGCAAATTAATTACAGAAGGAATCCGAGCTCTTTGTCCCACCGAGTTTCCCACAGTCTGGATTTGGCCAAGTGTAGCCCCTTGGCGTTCAGATGTTCCTCCGCCCCGGATATTTGTGTAAATTCAGAGTAGTATCAGGAGGTGGCTTAGATTCAGGTTCGTCTCCTTCTGTCTCTACTGTGTCACGGATGCTATGGTGTCCTTCTGTCGGGAGGCAGGTAATGTCGGGGTGTGAAATTAGCAGTCAGTGATGGTCACGGCCTACATCTACCAATGCGTTCATGCGTGTGAAGCTGGAATTTCCCAACTGTATTATTCTTTCTTCATTTAACAGCAAGAATACTTCCGTAAAAAGCAACTTTGCCTTATCAACTATGTGAATACTTGAGGACACACTCATGTAGGAAAGGCAGAATTAATGCTTTTATGCTTTTTCCTTTCCTTTCCTTGTTTTTTTTTTTTTGACTAGTTAGTTGGTTCTCTGATTTTACCCAAAGGGGACAAAGATGTTATGTTTAGTTTTGTGTTTTTTTCTTATTTTGGCTATTAGAATCATCATCAATATGTGGATTTTAACATTTCAGATATTTGAAGCCATTACAGTTTTTATGCTTATGGGTGGTGAAATCCACTCATTTGAAGCGCATGGAAGGAAGTCTCTTAAAGTTGGCTCCTGAGCTCCCCTGACATAGCCCAGGTCGCCTTTGAGAGCTCACGTACTCTCTGGGAAAAGAAGATGTTGCTGACCCCCTTCGGCCATTTCCTTCTGTAGGCCTGAGCGTCAGCCATTTTGGGCTCCTTTAAGCCTGGCCTTCCCCAGTGTTGGGTCTTTTCCAGGTACGGAGCTAAGGGAAACTTTCTGAGAAGACACCATGATTTCCTCTGGATACCTCCAGCCCGTCTCTAGGGCTTTTCTGAACCTCTTCCACCTTATGTCTGTGTCTTTTACTCCTAGGCACAGAATCCTGAGTCTGCAACCCACTTGATTGTTGCTTTGCCTCTTCCTGCTGCATTCGCTGCATGCTTTCAGAGCGAATTTCAAGCAGCGCCAGTCGTGTTTGACTACTGAAAACGCTGTGAGATCATCCACTTCTCTTCTTTTAGTTCTCGGGCTACGGGTTTCCTTGGGAAATGAAAACAATGTGACTACTTTGAGATCACTTGAAATAATTGTGTCTTGTGTGGTTGTGCTACCAACTCAAAACCCAGTTCATGTCCTGTGTTTCAGCTTTGGAAAATTTTAAAATTTACATTATTAGGTAGTAGTTTCGAAGTTTCATTGACGAGGCAATGAATATTTAGAGAAAATGGCTTCACTTGTGTTTTCTCCACCCCGTTCTCTGTCTACATTTAGCTAATCTTTTACTTCTATATTTGGTCCATGCTTCTGTTCTCTGCCTAGTGATATATCCTGGGGTCCCTTCCTTAGTAATGGACTTTATGTCATTCCTTTTCACGGCCACATAGCTCTGCACTGTGTGATGAACCATAGTGTATTCAACACCTTCCTACTGAGAGATGTCTAGATTATTTTCTGTCCCTTGTGGTCACGGATGGTGTTACAAGAAGTAATGCCTCTTACAAATATCTCTTCATCCCTTGCAAGGGTACCACTGGAAGAGAGTCCTAGCACTGGCATTGCTAGGTTAAAGGGTGAATGCATGTGTGGTTTTGCTAGACATTGCCCAACTCCCTTTCAGGAAGATCACACCATATTGTGTTCTCATCGCCCTGGATACGAGCATCTCTTTCCCGCCAGCCTTCCCAGTGGGGCGCACTACCGGGCCTTGGGATTTGGACTAATCCCATAGTTCGTAAGTGACCTCTCCACCTAATTTTAATTAGCGTGTGTTTAACTTGGAGCAAATATTCAACAAACATTTAACAGGTACCTGCTATGTAGCATTGTCTGTGCTAAAGACTGAGGAGGTAGAGAAAAAAATAGTCCCCTTTAAGGGTTGAGGATATCTCTGAGAATATAAGCCAAAAGGAACACTGCATTATATTCTATTAAGGTTCTTAGTGGGTGTCTTTGTTGGGTGCTGTGGGAGCCCAGGAGAGGGGCATCTGAACCAGATGGCCCAGGCTTCAGGAGAGTGGTTAAAGATTTGGGCTGAGTCAACAGCAGAGCTGAGTCCCAAATGATTGGTAGAGGGTGTTTATGAATCTGATGAATGGCGAGGTGTCTCAGGAAGAGAAAAAGAGCAGGTGCAGAAGCCCTGAAGTGAAGAAGGGGAACCTAGCGGGTCCTGGCCAGTGTTCTGTACAGGAAGCCATGAAATCCTAGTTTAGGTTATGGAAAGGAGGTGGAGAGAGATGAAGCTAGTAGTTTGAGGGTTTCAATATTGTCAGGCGTCTGAAGACCCCTTAAGAAGTTCCCCCCATCTGGATAGGCTCCATGTTCAGGATGGCAGCAGGGAGAGCCCATTCTGAGGTTGCCGCCATGACCTGAGGGAGCGGTCACGAGGAACTAAGCTCAGGGAGTGGTAGGAGAAATGTGAAGACTTAAGTGAATTCTAGTGGCACCTGGGTGGCTCCGTCAGTTAAGCGTCCAACTTCAGCTCAGGTCATGATCTCGCAGTTCATGAGTCTGAGCCCCTGTGTCAGGCTCTGTGCTGACAGCTCAGAGCCTGGAGCCTGCTTCAGATTCTCTCTCTCTCTCTCTCTCTCTCTCTGTCCCTTCCCCACTTGCACTTTGTCTCTCTCAAAAATAAATAAAACATGAAAAAAAAAGAATTAGGTGAATCGGAGAAATGTAAAGAATGTGTTGATGATTTAATGGATGTGGGACAGGAAGGAGAAGGGGCTAAGTATGATTTCCAAGTTCTTGGCTGTTGAATCCATATGTAAGAAAGAAAGGGAATCTAAAATAATGATTTTATTTTTATTTTTTTATTTATTTTTTAAAGTTTATGTATTTTGAGAGAGAGAGAGAACAGGGGAGGGACAGAGAGAGAGGGAGAGGCTTCAGGCAGGCTCCACATTGTCAGTACAGAGCCTGATGCAGGGCTCAAACCCATAAACCATGAGATCATGACCTGAGCTGGAGTCAGACACTAAATTGACTGAGCCACCCAGGTGGCCCTAAAATGTTGATTTTATTTTTTTAAAAATTTGTTTTATGTTTTATTTATTTCTGAGAGAGAGAGAGAGAGAGAGAGAGAGAGAGAGCGCATGAGCAGGGGAGGGTCAGAGAGAGAGGGAGATACAGGATCTGAAATAGATTGCAGGCTCTGAACTAGCTGTCAGCACAGAGCCCGACATGGGGCTCGAACCCATGAACCATGAGATCATGACCTGAGCCATAGTCAGACACTCAACCGACTGAACACCCAGGCGCCCCTAAAATGATGATTTTAGATGAGGAAAGTTGAGTTCCTACCTGCTGTCAGATGGCTTGTCTAGGTGAGAGCAGGGCATCAATGGATCCAAGAAAGGAGAGCTTTTCAAGAGGGAGGAGGCTGCCCACGTATCTCATGTGAAGACTTCAAACTAGATGTGGGCCAGAGGACAGAGTAACCAGGTCATCCCTGTTTTCCCTGGACCTTCCTGGGTGATGATCTGTGCCTTGGTTTCCTAGGGCTC